TGGTTTAGTGACTTAATACTAGTACAGAATGGAGTTTTATTTGACTATGCTGAAATTGGATTGGAATAATTTTATAAAGTTTTAAGTCTAAAGTGAGTCCATGAAGTAGGATTATTCTATAATTGCCTTCTTTGTATATGTGTCTTTATATTACATCCTTTATATTCTTCTCTATGATGGATACACAGACATCCTTCTGGGAAATAATCTCCAGAGTCATTGTACCGAGTGGACTTGAGAATAACCCTATGAGAAAAGTTAAGAAACACAGCAGTGTGTGGAGTTCAGACAGTGGAGGATAGAAATAAGCAATAGCTGCCCATAACAGACCTGCCTCAAATGATCCAGAGCCTCTGATGTCTGGAAGAATATTCTCTTTGCATCCATTACTTTTGAAGACTCTAATGTGTTTATCTAGAGAGAAATATAAACCCTTTGATGCTTTTAAGTAAGACTTTAATCTTTAAAGGAATTGTGTCTTCTGAAGAGTATTCTTCAATGCCTACCACTTAGAATGAATCCTGTGTACCTGGTATTGGATTAACTCTTCATCAATTTCTAAGAAGAAATATTTAAAGATAGAAACATGTATTCTAAATATAATCATTTGTTGAGTTCTATCCCAAAGCTAATTCATGGCCCTCAGTTATTTTTTCCAGTTTGAGATTTTTGAGAAAGATGAGATGTCTCTTATAACTCACTGATGTTTGAAGGCTGTCATGCTGTGTTTGTGAGAATCCATGCAATTACAGTGAATGAAAAATGCCCATTACTGGGAACTCTAATCTAAATAGTTCCACATTCATTTATGTTAAATGACAACTTAGGGAGACAGTCATTTATCACATGTTTATTAATTGAAACAAGCCTTATTAATCTGAATTGTACTCATTTTCAGAGAGTTATTGCAAATGTGATCCTGTCCATCACCATGTGAAGACTGAAAAGGAATGTTGTCAGTGTAATGACCTTGGCAAAGTGCTTCATGACCCCTCCACATGTGCACTTTATACAACAAGTGAAACTACAGAAAACTCTAATGACTACACATGCAGTAATCATAGGGATACTTCTACTAACTCATCAAACCCAGATAAACATATAAGTATGCACATTGGAGAAGAACCTTGCAAATCCAAAGACTGTGAGAAATCTTTAAATTTGTGTTCCAGTATTACTCAAGATCAGAGACTCTTCACTACAAAGGAAGAGAACAGACAACAAGAATATGATGACTATTTCAGCTATGCATACACTTTTTTTCAACAACCAATCTGCATTGGAGAGACACCACATCAGTGTGGGAAATGGTTCAGTACCACCTCAAGCCTCACTCAACATGAGCGAATTCATACTGGAACTAAACCTTACAAGTGCAATGTTTGTGAAAAATCCTTTATGCAGCATTCAAGTCTTAAAATACACCAAAGACTTCATACTGGGGAGAAACCTTACAAATGTAAGGAATGTGACAAATCCTTTGCCCACTATTCCAATTTCAGGAGACACCAGAAAATACATACTGCTGGGAGACACTTTAGTTGTCAAGAATGTGGCAAGGTCTTTCATCAACTTTCACAATTTGAAAACCATTACATACTCCATACTGGAGAGAAGCCTTACAAGTGCAGTGAGTGTGACAGATCCTTTCCCCACTATTCAGCATTGAGAAAGCATCAGAAAACACATTCTCTAGAGAAATTACACAAGTGCAAAGAATGTGGTAAGTCCTTTCTTGAATTATCACTTCTTAACAGGCATTACAGAATCCATACTGGTGAAAAGCCTTACAAATGTGAGGTATGTAACAAATCCTTTACCTGGAACTCATACCTTTCAAGACACCTGAAAATTCATACTGGTGAGAAACCTTACAAATGTAATGAATGTGACAAATCCTTTGCTGAACACTCATATCTTAGAAGACATCAGAGAGTTCACACTGGAGAGAAACTTTACAGATGTAAGCAATGTGAGAAGTCTTTTACTAGCTCCTCATATCTTAGATCACATCAGAAAATTCATACTGGAGAGAAGCTTCCTAAATGCAAAGACTGTGACGTATCCTTTATCCATATTGCAAATCTTAGAAAACATCAGAGAGTTCATACTGGAAAGAGACCTTACAGTTGTACGGAATGTGACAAATCCTTTTCCTGGGACTCACAACTTAGAACACATCAGAGAGTTCATACTGGAGAGAAACCTTACAACTGTGAGAAATGTAACAAATCTTTTGCCCATTCTTATGGCTTAAGGAAACATCAAAAAATTCATACTGGAGAGAAACTTCACAAATGCAAAGACTGTGACATATCCTTTATCCATATTGAAAGTCTTAGGATACATCAGAGAGTTCATACTGGAGAGAGACCTTACAGTTGTCAGGAATGTGACAAATCCTTCACCACTTGCTCACATCTTAGAAGACATCAGAGAGTTCATACTGGAGAGAGACCTCACAGTTGTAAGGAATGTGACAAATCCTTTACTAGATGTGAACATCTTAGAACACATCAGAAAATTCATACTGGAGAAAAACCTTACAAATGTAAAGACTGTGACATGTCCTTTAATGAACACTCAATACTTAGAACACATCAGAGCGTTCATACTGGAGAGAGACCTTACAGTTGTCAGCAATGTGACAAATCCTTTACCAGTTGCTCACATCTTAGGAAACATCAGAGAGTTCATACTGGTGAGAGACCTTACAGTTGTCAGCAATGTGACAAATCCTTTACCAGTTGCACAGATCTTAGAAGACATCACAGAGTTCATACTGGAGAGAGACCTTATAGTTGTAAGGACTGTGACAAATCTTTTACTAGGTATGAACATCTTAGGACACATCAGAAAATTCATACTGGAAAGAAACCTTAAAAATGCAAAGACTACCATATCCTGTATCTATATTACAAATCCTAGGAGACATTAGAAAATTCATACTAGAGAAAAAATCATCACTGTAAATAATGTGACATAGCATTTTCCTGTATTTCCTGCTTATAAATCATAACAGTATATACAGTAGAAACAAAAATAAGAAACTTGTGAAAACCTTTAATGAGATTTAAATCTTAGAAAATATCACAGAGTTTATGCCAAAATAATACTCTCCAAATGTTACTGTGGCAGAAGCTTATTTCTTTTGATGTGTATGTGTGCTTTGTCTGCTTGTTCTACTGTGTGTGCACTCCATGATGACCTGGTGCAGGTGCTGGCCAGAGGGTTATCAGATCCTCTGAAGCTGGAGTTCTAGACAATTGTGAGCTGCAGCTGTGTGTTGGGAATTGAACCCCAAGGCCCCTGAAAGAACAGCCAATGCTAAGTGATATCTACAGCCCTTAGGGAAAGCTATCATGTAAACATTGATCTTGTTCAACATCCAAAGATTTGTAACAATGTCAGGCATGATGGTGCAAGCCTTTAATCCCTTACTCAGGAGACAAGGGTAAGGGGAAATGTCTGAGTTTGAGGCCATCTTGATCTACATAGTGAGTGCAATGACAGCAAGGTTTACATTAGCCCTATCTCCAAAAAAAGAAAAAAGAAAACATAATGAGGACAAAATTTAACAACACAAAAACTGTGGAAAGTCCTTGAGTTTTATCTCTTAATTTTGCTATGTTATCACAAAATCCATGCTCCTGACCAACCATATAAAAGCATAGTCTTATAATTCCTGTCTTGCTCTTCATTGAAGGTTACCTCACTGAAATGTGTTGTGGACAATCACCATTCTCAGTACCTCAGGCCTCTGAGATAGAAAATTATTGCCTCTTAAGAAGTAAGCAAGCAGAATGTTTAGCAGAGCATTCCTAGATACAGGCTTGTGGTTTTACAACCAGTTAAAGAATAGCTCAGGATAGTCTTCCTGTTGCAGCTTTACAACCAATTAAAGAATAGCTCAGGATATTCCTCCTGCTGCAGTTTTACAGCCAGTTAAAGATTAGTTCAGGGCATTTCTTCTACTGACCTTGTCACTCTGCCCACTTGCAAACCCCATTCACATCCTACCCATGGTCCTATATAAGCCTCCCCTGAGAAAATAAAGTTTGACAGCTTGATCAGAATATGGACTTGCTGTTCTTCTCCTCCTTTACCCTTCTATTCCCCCTAGGTGTCTCCCAGTTCATCTTTGACTGCCCCGCAGGACGAGACAGAGAAATGCATTAAATTTAACAGAGTCCTTACCTAGTTCTGAAATGTGCACATAAAAAAAATTCTTGGGTAACCACACCTGTAAGCCCCCACATACTGTAGTAATTCAAATAAAGCCATGTGAAAGATCTTGGGTGGAGGGGATTTTTATTAGGGGAAAGTGAATAGGAAAAAGGGAAACCAACCTCTAGGGACAGGAGCAGCAGGAGAGAAGAGAGGCAGAGAGAAAGAGGGAGATAGGCAAAGACACCGAGAGAAAGATGGGAGGTGAGGCCATTTTAAAAGAGAAAGTAGTGAATGTGCACAGATAGTGCTCTTAGTGAGTGCAGCTGAAGACAGCCTGCCAGAATCCCCAAGGGCAGACCAGTACAGATTAACACCCATTCTGGTGGGGGGGGTGAGTAAGGGAGGGGCAGTAGGCTAGGAAGCTGTAGGGCCTATGAGGGCATCCATCCCAGATGGATTCCCCTAGTTCCTTCCTGAGGAAGATAGGCTGCTCTGCTTGGCAGACTCACAAGTATTCTGCTTTACCCTGTCACTGACTACCCTGGCCGGGACCATCCTGCCTGACTCCAGGTTCACTGGATGAGGCCAGCATGTGTGTCTTGGCTGCTGAGTTTCCCAGCTCCCACAAGCAGCAACCACTCCTTGCCCAGCGTGCCCAGCTCAGTCCTCGGTCGGGTGCCTGGGCACCTCATTGCAGACTGCAGGGCTTGCCAGGGATGAATCAACCAGAAAGAAAAAGACAAGCCAAGGCTTGGAGTTCCTGCACACTCTATGGTGCATAGTGGAAGCTTGTGCACAGTAGGCTCTCAATCTTCTAATCAGTGGATGACATGGGGAAAATGTGGAACAACTTGAGACACTGGTGCCAGGTTCTGTTTGAAGGAGGAAGCATCACTGAGACTGTGGACATGAACTCCAGCAGGTGTGTGTCTGACAAAGAGAAAATCATCAATCTGGGAGAGTTCACTCCCCAGCAGCAGAGCAGTCCCTTAAGAGAAAACTTTGCCTTACAGCAGGGACTCAACCAAAAGTATGCCATGGAGATCACTTAGGTTGTTGAACTAATCATTGAGAAAGACGTGTGTCCCAACCTGGGGACAAGGCCTGTGCAAAGACATCCCTACTGTGGGAGAGGAAGAAACATTCCTGTTCCACAAACACTCAGAGTTGACTGAATACTGAGAAAAGGTTTGGTCGAACTGAAAGCGGCCTTCAGAGGCTATGGAATCATCTCCATCAAAGATATGAAAAGTGTTTCCAGCCCTGCTGTCTGGAGCCCCTCTCTGAGGCAGAGGCTCCAGGACACTGGGTTTGTGTTTCCCCCTGAGAACGTACAGCAAGCAGTATTTGGCTTGTGCGTGCCAAGTCTGTGTTGACGATAGGACGCTGCCATCTGAATTTATTTATTTTTATTTTCAGTGAGATATATTCTAATCAATTCTTTAAAAAAGTCTGTAGATAGCCCAGAAATTTGGAAGAATGACAATGAACTGTGTGAAATTAAAAATCTTCTGCTGAACAGGAAAGGAAAACATAGGGTGCAGAATCAGCCTAAAGAATTTGAGAGAACCTTAGCCTGAAATTTGGTACATATCTAGAATCTATTTTAAAAAAATGAAACAAACAAAAATTAAAAAGGCGATTTTCAAAAGATGAAATACACGCATTCGAAAATGTGTAGAAATTGTTCAACATCTTTAGCCACCATGAAAAGTAAATCAAGTATCAGAGAGTCATCTGGCCCCATCATGAAGCTTTCACCATGAGTCAAACAGCATCCCTGTGCAGTGTTACGGATGTGATGTGAAGGCATCCAGAGCTGCTCATGGTCTTGAGCTGGTGGTGCGGTTTCAAGATTGAGTTGGGGGACGAATAGATGAGAGCAAGAAAAGAGATACTATAATAGAGGGAGGGAGCCATTATAGGTTTGAAGAGAAAACTGACATTAGAGAAATGTTCAGAGACCTACAAGAATGACCCCAACTAACAATCTGACATCTGAATTTAACCTGTTATCGTTTAATGTAAGTTGTAGTCCAGGAGGCTGGTAGTCAAGTCGAGGTTAGGCTGCCTGTCTTTTGTCTGAAGGATTCAGAACTCACTGTGGGGTGAGATACCAGGGTGCAGCGTCCTCTTGGATGCAGTTCCGGTCTAGTCTGGCTGCAAGCCTGTGGGGAGTCTGTGCAGAGCGGGTCCAAGGCAGCTGTGTGAAAGGCAGACTGAGAGGGAGGAATTCCGATGTGGCTGGCAGGAACAATGGTCTAATCAGAGGTTATTAAGGGAAAAGTGGACTTCGGAAAAACAAGACAAACAAACAAAACCCGAGTCTGCGGTAAGCGGTTTTGCAAAAGCTAGGTAACCGGAAATGGATTTTAAGTGGGAGGGCCCAGGAGAAGCTGCTCCAATCAATTTGGCAATGCTGCAGGAAGGAGCCCTGTGGTGTGGAACTAGGGGATGAAGATCCATCGTGTTTTTACCAGACCTAAAAATTCCGGAGTCGCAGTCTCCGCGCCGGGCGGCCTGGGAAAGTCACAGTCAGCAGCGCAGTGGCGGGAACAGCAGCCCGGCGGCCCTGGAACCTCCCAGGTGAGAGGAGCTGCGGGGCTGGGACCCAGGAGGGAGGGGACCAGGGATGGGAGCAATTTCCTTGCTGTTCATCAGGAAGCCTTCTGAAATTCTGCTATGGATGTCTTCCCTTGGTGTATTTTAGACCACATGTAATAGGCCTGGTGTTTTTCAATTGGTCTTCTGATTGCCAAAATATTCATGTACAAATAATCTAATTGAACATTATGATTTATTTGGTGAGATTTGCAAGCATAATTCTTTTTGCTATGGTGAAAACCTCTTGAAATTTATAGTCATCCATACTAATTTACGTGTTACTTCCATGTGCAAGAGAGTGGCACATTTACCTAGAGACTTGGATTCGCAGAGAGCTTTTGGATAATAGTCATGAAAGGAGCACCTGAAATTTCATTGAACCGAAAGAGAGAGAGTGTGTGTGTGTATTTACAAGTTGCACAGTATATTTGTTAACATTAACTTTTAAAAGTATACTTTTCTGCATTATTCATTTTCTGCCTGAGACATATGTACACTGATATGTAAATGCAGCATTCTGAAAAGTGACTTTGCCAGGCCTGGTGACACACACCTTTAATGCCAACATGCAGAAGGCTGAGGCAGGTGGATCACCGACAGTTTGAGCCTGGTAAGGTGTACATAGTGACATCAAGGACAGCCAAAAAAAAAAAAACAAAAACAAAAAACCTTTCATGGGAAAATAGAAAGGAAAAAAGAAATTCGAATGCCTTGCAGTATAGAATAATAATATAAAGCATCTTTTGAATAGTTACAATAGTTTTTAGTCTAAGAAAAGCACTGTGTCCATGGACACATGACCAAACGTATATTTTGATTCTGGTGTTTGAGACGTGAGCTCAACAGTGTTGCTCTTTCTGGAGCAGACCTCACCATGTAGACCAGGTTGGAGTGGAAAATACAAGAGTTCCATCCACCTCTGCCTCCCAAGTGCTAGGATTAAAGGTGTGCATGAAGAGGAGGATTTAAACTGTTGCTTTTCTATTGTGGTCTGTTGAGGAGGAGGGGCAGTGCCTGGACCCTCTGCTGAGGGCTTTATACTGGGACTGGATATTGCAGCAGTGTGGTTTCTGGGTCTAAGAATTGTTTGCTTGCAGTCTCCCTTGCTCCTCCCCAGTATTTCATGACAAACTAATCTGCAGGTGTGTGAGCTTTGTGTGCATGAAATCTCACATCCCACAGAATAAAGTGAAATCCTCAAAGGAAAAAAAGAAAATATTCATGAGATGTTCCCTCTTCATGTGTGTCCTTTGGGAGGTGTAAGGCTCCATCATTATTGTTCCATGTTAAATTCAGAACCTCATTAGTATATGATAATCTCTTCCTAATCATTCAGGACCATTTCTTCCTCTGAGTTTTGACTGAGCTGTGATTGGAAGTGGGATTAAAGTTATGATAATCAAAACTGCTTTCTAATTATTTTCAGTGTTCTGACAGTGCAGCAGAGTTGGGGACTCATTTGTATAATCCTGTATTTACTGTTCCCTTCATCTACGGAGCACAATACTGTGTTAGACATCCAGGGGCTTCCTGAACAATCTCTTTCTCCTGTGCAGGGCTCACTGATCACCCAGACCTGCTCACCTGTGCAGCAGAACAAAGAGGCCTGGAAGGAGAGAGGGGACAGTGGCTAAGGATGCAGGTGTGGTGGAGGGATTGTTGTAGGGGTGGAAAGGTGGTAAGTGACTGTGAAAGGGAGACAGGGGGACATGAAATCAGTTTGTCCTCCTTCTGTTTCAGTAGCAATAATTCTGGAGAGTTAGTTTCACTGGTAAAAATCTCCTCATCGTTATCCTAATGTGGGCATGAGAAGACTTTGTTCAGAAGAATTGATAATGGAGTCAAATAAAACTTTATTTGAATATGCCTGTGACTGATGCTTATTCATTCACATGACAGATGATGTTTTCTCACCACTATTGAATCATTTTAATTTCTTTGGTTTTAATATATTATAAAAATGATAAAAATTAATAACTAGGTTTTGATAAGAAATCAGGAAGTATATTTACTGCCTGCTACACTCCATCTATACTGGCTCCTATTGTCTGTTGAAAATTAAGATAAACATTTAGAATGCAGTAAGGACTTATGCTGACTCAGAAAGTAGTGGTTGTAGGTTCTCCTCCAGGGTCCATGCCTTTGCTAGCCCTGGGGAAACTGGCTAGATTTCCACTACCAGGCATGTTCTCCCTCTTGTTGAAAGGGTCTTAATCTAATTAGAAGGTGTTGGTTACTACCAAGGTATGTGTGCCACTCTTGCACCCTTAGGGTCATCATTCAGTGTTGTGGTTCATAGGTGTCATAACTGGGTAGGACTCTTGGCTGGCTCCCTCCATTTGAAAGCTGCATGTTGCCCTTTGGTATCATTAAAACTAGCGCCAGGGAGGATGCTTTAAAGTCAGTTCCATCTCAAGTCCTCTGGGGTTTGTGTGTGAAGTATGTGGCTTCTTCAACACTAGGAACACAGCTTCTAACTCTAGGAGGCAACCATGACCAACAACAATACCCTGGTGTGGATGGCTGTGACTGGCAACTTCAAACCAGGCTTCCTACACCTGGTGTTGGTTGTTTTGGTGGAAATTCTATGGCTCTTATGAGGAGCATCATCGGGGGCAGTTGGGAAATTTTCATTTACACTCTAAATGTATATTACAGAGACTTGGAGGCTTTTTTTTTTTTTTTTTTTTTTTTTTTTTTTGATGTGTAGATAATAGTCAAGGAATAGATAGATTCCTTATTAATTTTCCAGACATCCTTACTGTTATTTTACCCTCCTCCTTCTGTGTTTATGTCTGTCTCCTCCTAATTGAATCCTCACCTCTGCATTTTCAATTTCCACCTTCTAATCACTTTCCCCCTGTTACTCATGCTCTTTTTACTCCTGTGGTTACTGCAGTCACTCCAGGTTGTGTACTCAGATCTGAAGGTTTAGAGCTAGAGATTTCCTATGAGACAGAACATGCAATGTCTGTGTTTCTGGGTCTGGGTTACCTCACTCCTTATGATCTTTTCTAGGTCCATCCATTTAGCTGCAAAGCTCATGATTTCAATTTTCTTTACAACTGAATGCTATTCCATAGTGTATATGTACCACATTTTCAGTATGCATTTGTCAGTTGAAGGACATTAGGTTGTTTCCATTTTGTAGCTGTTGTGAGCAGCAATAAACATGGCTGATTGAGTATTTGTGAAGAACGATGCTGATTCATTTGGGCATATGCCAAGGAATGGAACAGCTGGGCCACGTGCTGAATTTATTTAACTTGAGGGTTTGTTTATGTAATTGAGGGTTTTCTCTTGATTTTCAGTGTGGCTAGTTTGTTGTTGTTGTTGTTCATGGCCTTTTTATTTTCTTTGTGTCTATGTAGCTGCGGTTTGAATTATTGGTAGTATTCTTCCTTGTTTTTGAGAAATAGTGGTTTGCTGTCTTCCTCATGGATGATTGATTTACAATTCTCCTCAATTTCTGTGTTTTTTTCACGTGAAATTTATTTCCCATGTTTTCATGGATGACTCCTCTGACTCCCCTCTGTTTATTTTGCCTCTAATTTATTATCTGCAATGCTGCTTTAGTGAAATCAATTGTGTTAATTGGTAACTTTCTTGAAATTCACTCATGTATCCATCAGTTTTAAGAGAGTAGTGTTCTTTGTGCAACAGTATGCTTGATGGTTTTTTTTCTTCAAGCTTCAAATGTCTTTCTGTGCTCTCCTGTCTTTGGAATCATTGTCTAGACACCTGGTTGTATTTTGGGGGGGGGGCAGCTTGGGTCTTTTCATGTGGTTTGATGTTGTTCTTTAACAGTTTTCACTATTAATTTTACTCTTTTCCCCCTTTATTTGAAAGGACAGCAAGCCATCTATTCCTTGTTCCTGAAAGAGAAACTCACAGAAGAGAAACAGAAAGAAATGGCTAATTCTCCAGTAAATATGTCAAAGATCAGAGGGCGTTTCCACTTGGTATCTAAATATGTTAATCTTTGATAGATTAAGAGCCTTTAATTTTCTGCTTCTGATACTTTTTTTTAAATTTTATTATGAAGAATTCTGCAATCAGGCAAACAATAAAATCACTCACAGAAATTAAGCAGACATAAAGACCAGATAGCTCAATTTACATTTTACAGTTAGAGCAGACATAGGCAACAAAAGCTATGGAGCCTCACTTTCTCTTACATATGTTCACAATCAAGTGTGTTTTCATTTACTTATCCACAACACAAGCCCCCAAAACGTGGTGTCTCCTTTCTAAAAGTGTATGACTGCACTCAATATTAAACATTTTGAGTCCATCCATTTTCCTGCAAAGTTTTTTTATACAGTTTTTATCTGTTCACTTATTCTTTTGATTCTAGTACTTTTCTTTGGTGATTAAAACAGCAGTAAACATGGGACATAAATGTCTCTGTGGTGGGCTGTGTTCTTCTCTGCATATATGGCCAGGAGAGAATGACCTGGGAAATATGTTAGTTCTCGCTTCAACTTTTTTCAATAATCTCCAAACTTATATTAATTTGTACCCTCCTCTCCGTCAACAGTGAGTAATGTTGTAATTTAAGAAAAGCAGTGTGTGAGAGGAAGACACCATACGAAAGGATTCAAGCAGAGGGGTTTCTATTGGGGAGAGGGACCATGAAAAGCAGAAAGTGAAAGAGAGGGATACCAGCCTCTGGAGAAAAGAGTAGGGAGGGATGGGGCAGAGAGAGGGAGGGAAACAGAGTGAGTGAAGGATGGGAGGTGCGCAGGGCCGTTTTAAAAGGGAAAAAGGTGAACATGCACAGGTGGTGCTCCTAGTGTCTGCAGCTGAGGGTGTTATCCTGTCAGCACCCAAGGACAGGCCAGTACAGATGCCTGAATTCTAACAAGTAGGGCTTCCTTTTCTCCATGTGCTCTGAAACATTTATCGTCAGGTTAGTAGTTCGTGACAACCATTCTGCCTTGGGTGATGCAGTATTTCCAAGGAGTTATATTTTCCATTTCCATGGCGGCCTTTTTGGGTTCTTGTGCACTTTCACAATGTTTCTAGGCCACTTGCGTTTCTATCTTTGAAAAGTGTCTATTTATTTCATTGCCCATTTATTGATTTGCAGTTTAATTTTCTTGGTATTTAATTAATTTAAAATTTGGTTAATTCTTCTTATGAGCTGTATCCAAATTTTCACTTATACAGATTCTCTTAGCTATACCTTAAATTTTTTTTTTTTTTTAACACTTTGGGAGTGAAGTGAAACATTCAAAACTTCTGAAATTGTTACTTTTCATATATTCTGACTTCCATACCTACACCTTTGCTACTTAATGGTGTGGCATTGTACCTAGAGTTTAAACATTCCCAACTGGCCTGTTAGAATAGAGTTATGTAAGGCCCAAGTACATACAGAATTGATTTGTGTCAGTCTTGTAGTGTGATCTACAGGTATAGCATTTAAAGCACATCTGCTCATCATGAATTTGCCTTCTGAGAAATGTCTCCTGTGGGACATAAACACAGCATCCATAACATAGATAACCGTGTCCATACCTTAAATGTATTTCTTGTTTCATATATACTGCTTGCAAGACTCTTGTGTCATCATGTTTTCACAGAGTTAAAACATTCATGATAGAATGTGACTGTATTGGAAATCATCTTTTTGAGTAATTATCTTCACTCATCTAAATTCTGTCTCCTTCATCCAGGAAAGCACTTACAGGTAGCGAGTATGGTCAAAACATACTCTCTTTGTTTTAGGGTCCGTTGACATTCAGAGATGTGACCGTGGACTTCTCCCAGGAGGAATGGGAATGCCTGGACTCGGCTCAGAGGGCTTTGTGCATTGATGTGATGTTAGAGAATTACAACAACCTGGTCTTTGTGGGTGAGAACAATATACTTCTAGAATTCCTTACCCATCTTTTGTTTGTTCTGACTTTATACTATGTAAAACCTGTTAAGCGGTCCTGAAAACACCAACAGGAGACAAGGCAAGGTTTAGTAGTAGGAAAAAAGTTTTTCATGCTGTTTAGTTTTCTCTTTCTATTTTCCATTTCAAAGCTGTCATCCACCCTTCATTTTGGTTCCAAGATTCATCTGTAGACTCAGTAGCATATAGTGCTTCCACTAATATCTTAAAGCTCCATGTCCGTTATTGCAATTGACATGTTTTTTTTTTTTTTTTTTTCAGATTTATTTATTATCTATATAGTGTTCTGCTTGCATTTACCCCTGTGGGCCAGAAGAGGTCACCAAATCTCATTACAAATGGTTGTGAGCCACCTTGTGCTTGTTGGGAATGAGCTCAGGATCTGTGGAAGAGCAGCTAGTGATTTTAACCTCTGAACTATCTCTCCAGCCCAGTTGACATGGTTTTAATTGTGATAAATATGCAAGATATACAAACTGAGAATACAAAAATACTGAAGAATTGGAAGAAATACCAATTAAGTAATCTTGACTAAATTGCTCTGTTTTCCTTTTTCATGTACTGAGCACAGTACTGTCTTAAACATCTCTATTCTTTCTAAAAGTTCTGGCATGGGTCATGGGCTGCCTGAAAGAACATGTGGATTATTGTGTCAAGGCAGGCATGGTCACCTGTCTGGAAACAATGAGATTGTCCTGGAATGTGGAAAGGAGAGAGAACCACAACTAGGGTGAACTAGTGAATGAGCAGGACAACAGTGAAGGCTGCAAGGGAAAGAGAAAGCCAGAGCTGAGGATGTTTTTGTGATGTTTAATTCCTCTTCAAATGATTCCTGATCATTTAATTCAGTGAGTCTCCTGGACCCAGGATACTTCCTGTCTGTTGTACCTGTTTGAAGGTGTCATGTCTTATCACACCTGAATTATAGTGACTACTAGTACAAAATGCAGTTTTATATGACTGCTGAAATCACACTGGAATAATTTTACAAAATGTTAAGTCTAATGTGAGTCCATGGAGTAAGATTACTGTGTAATTGCCTTCCTTGCATATGTGTCTTCATATTATATCCTTTATTTTCTTACACATACACACACAGTTCTGGGGAACAATCCCGAGAGTCAGTGTACAGATTAGACTTGAGGTTAACCCTGTGAGGAAATGTAAGGAGCATAGTAGTGTGCGTGACTCAGACAGCGGCATTCAGAAACAACCAATAGCTTCCCATGACAGCCCTCCCTCAAGTGATTGAGAGCTTGAGATGTTTATCAGAATACTGCCTTTGCTTCCATTACTTTTGAGGAATCTTTTCTGTTTTTAGAGAGAAAAATGAACCCTGTCATTCTTTTGAGTAAGACTACACTTTAAAGGATTGTGTCTTCTGAACAGTACTCTTCATTGCCTATCACTTAGGAAGTGTAAACACTGGTGAAGCTGGTGTTCAATCAAACTCCTCTCCTGAAAAGAAATATTTAAAGATAGAGACAAGTATTTTAAATATAATAACTCAGTCACTTCTACCCCAAAACTAATTCATGGCCATCATTTATTTTTTCCTTTCTCTAGAGATTTTTAAGAAAGATGAGCTGTCTGTTATAATTCACTGACCTTTGAAGATTGACATGCTGTGTTTGTGAGAATCCATACAATTACAGTGAATGAAAAATGTCCATTACTGGGAGCTCTATCTAAATAGTTCCATGTTCATTTATGTTAAATGACAACTTAGGAAGACAGTCATTTACTGCATGTTTATTTCTGGAACAAGCCCTATTAATCTGAAATGTACTTATTTTCTAGAGAACTATTATATATGTGATCCTGTCCATCAACTCGGGAAAACTGAAAAGGAGTCTTGTCAGTGTAATGAGCTCGGAAATATTCTTCATGACCCCTCCACATGCGCACTTTATAGAACAACTGAAACTACAGAAAACTCTAATAACTACAGATGCAGTGATCACAGGGATGCCTCTGTTGACTCATCAAACCCAGATAGACATGAAAGCATGCACACTGGAGAAGAACTTTGCAAATCCAAAGACTGTGAGAAATCTTTAAATTTGTGCTCCAGTATTACTCAAGATCAGAGAGTCTACACTGCAAAGAAAGAGCACAGGCAGGGAGAACATGATGACTCTTTCAGCTCTGCATACAGTCTTTTGCAACAACCAATCTACATTGGAGAGACATCACACCGGTGTGGGACATGCGGGAAATGCTTCAGAACTGTCTCAGGTCTCATTGTACATGAGAGAATTCATACTGCAATTAAACGCAACAAGCGCAACATTTGTGAAAAATCTTTTACCCAGCATTCAATTCATAAAATACTTGAAAGACTTCATACGGGGGAGAAACCTTACAAATGCAAAGAATGTGGAAGGTCATTTCATCTTTTATCAGCATTTCATAGCCATCAGAAATTGCATACTGGAAAGAAACCTTACAAATCCTTTCCCTACTGTTCCACTTTCAAGAAACATCAGAAAATGCATACTGCTGGGAGACACTATAGTTGTCAAGAATGTGGCAAGGTCTTCCAACAGCTTTTACACTTTAAAAGCCATTACAGACTCCATACTGGAGAGAAGCTTTTCAAGTGCAATGACTGTGACAGATCCTTTCTCTACCGTTCATCACTGAGAAGGCATCAGAGAACTCATTCTCTAGAGAAATTTCACAAATGCAAAGAATGTGGTAAGACCTTTCTTGAATTATCACTTCTTAATAGGCATTACAGAATCCATACTGGTGAAAAGCCTTACAAATGTGACATATGTGAGAAATCATTTACCTGGGACTCAACTCTTAGAACACATCAGAAAATTCATACTGGGGAAAAACCTTACAAATGTATGGAATGTGACAAATCCTTTACAAAACACTCAGATCTTAAAAAACATCAGGAAACTCATACTGCAGAGAAACTTCCTAAATGCAAAGACTGTGATATAACCTTTATCCATATTGCAAGTCTTAGAAAACATCAGAGACGTCATACTGGAGAGAAACCTTACAAATGTATGCAATGTGACAAATCCTTTAGCCACATGTCAAATCTTAGCACACATCAGAGAGTTCATACTGGAGAGAAACCTTACAGTTGTCAAGAATGTGACAAATCTTTTGTCCAATATTATAGTTTAATTAAACATAATAAAATTCATACTGGAGAGAAACTTAACAAATGCAAAGACTGTGGCAAATCCTTTGCCCATATTGAAAGTCTTAAACTACATCAGAGAGTTCATACTGGAGAGAGACCTTATAGTTGTCAGGAATGTGACAAATCTTTTACCACTTGCTCACATCTTAGAAGACATCAGAGAGTTCATACTGGAGAGAGACCTCACACTTGTAAGGAATGTGGTAAATCTTTTACTAGATACGAATATCTTAGAACACATCAGACAATTCATATTGGAGAACAACCTTACAAATGTAAAGACTGTGACATGTCATTTAATGAGTACTCAACACTTAGAACACATCAGAGAGGTCATACTAGAGATAAACCTTACAGATGTAAGGAATGTGGCAAATGTTTAACTACACCTGCATCTCTTCGAGCACATCAGAAACTTCATACTGGAGAGAAACCTTACAAATGTAAGGAATGTGACAAATCCTTTATCCACAACTCACATCTTAGAACACATCAGAGCATTCATACTGGAGAGAAACCTTACAGTTGTAAGGAATGTGACAAATCCTTTACCACTTCCTCAAGTCTTAGAATACATCAAAGAGTCCATACTGGGGAGAAACCTTACAAATGTATGGAATGTGGCAAGTCCTTTAGCCAGCTCTCAAATCTTCGAACACATCAGAGAGTTCATGCCAGGAAGAGACCTCACAAATCTGTGGAATGTGACAAGTCCTTTACCCGGCACTCACAACTTAGAACACATCACAGAGTTCACACTGATGAGAATCCTTACAAATGTATGGAATGTGACAAGTCCTTTACCCAGGACTCGCACCTTAGAAGACATCAGAGAGTTCATACTGGAGAGAGACCTTACAGTTGTGAGGAATGTGACAAATCCTTTATCAGTTGCACAGATCTTAAAAGACATCAGAAAGTTCATGTTGGAGAGAGGCCGTACAGTTGTGAGGAATGTGACAAATCTTTTGCAAAGTGGGATCAACTTAGAACACATCAGAAAATTCATTTAGGAATGTAAGGACTGACATATCCTTTATAAGTCTAAGGAGACATTAGAAAATTCATACTAGAGAGAAAATCACCATTGTAAATACTGTGACAGCATTTTGGTGATCTCTGCTTAGAAATCACAGCAATATGTAAAACAGAAACATACAAGTAAGAAAATTGTGAAAGCCTTTAATTAGGTTTAATTCTTTGAAAATGTCAGAGTTTATGCCAAAATAAAATTGTCTCAATGTTACTGTGGCAAAAGCGTATTTCTTTTAATGTCTATGTGCACTGTGTTTGCCTGTCTTACTATGCACTACATGTGGGCAATTGTTAGCTGTTCTGCATGCATTGGGAATTGAATCCCAGTCCACAAAAGAGCAGCTCTCCCTGAAATGCATTCAACTTGACAGGTCCTTTATCTAGTTCTGAAATTGTATATATAAAAGAAAAAATACATAGGTGGCTCCACCTGGCCCCCTGCCCTAGGTCGTAGTATTTTCCCTTTGAGTGGTGGAGGGTTAAGGGGGAGGGAGGAGAAAAAGGGAGGTGCCTCCAGGAACTGGTGAGGGTTGGCAGGAGCATCTGTCTTAGCTGGAGTTCCCAGGCTCCCACTGGAGGAAGTAAGGTACAGCAGGCTTGGCAGGTACCCTGAATGAGGTGTGTTTTGACTGCTGAGTGTCCCCCACATTTGCCCGATGCCCCCAAAAGTCCACATATCCTTGCCTGGGTCCCCACACCCGGCACAGTCCACCTGGAATTCTCCACTCAAGTAGCACAGCCCTTGGCCCTGGATGGAAAGACTGGGAAGAAGAGAAGTCCAGGCATTTAGCCCATGCATGCCATATCGCAAGAAGAGAGAGCTTGCATGTATTAGGTTCTGGTTCTGCTAATCAGTGGATAAAGTGGGGGAAATGTAGAACAACTTGAAACACAGGTGCCATGAAGGGGAAATTTGCACTGAGAGTATGGAGATGAACTCCAGCAGGTGTCTGTCTGACAAAGAGAAAAGTATCAATCTGCAGGAGTTCACTCCCCCACAACAGAGCAGTCTCTTAAGAGAAAACATTGCCTTACAGCTGGGACTCAGCCCTCCAAAGACCTTTTCAAGACCAAACTGCAACTGCCACAGAGTTCCTTCAGATGGTTGCCATAATCTCCGAGAACAGTGACTCTTGTGCTACCCTGGGAACAAGACTTGTGCAAAGAGACTCCTACTCTCCACACATCCCGTGGGGAGAGAAGAAGCAACTTTACTGTTCCACAAAGACCCAGAGTTCATTGGAGTAAAAGTTTGGTAGCACTCAAAGCAGCCTTAGGAGGAGAGAGTGGCACTATGGAGTCAGTTCCATGCATGGCACAGGCAGTGTTTCCAGCCCTGTGGTCAGAAGCCCCTCTCTGAGGCAGAGGCTTCAGAACACTGTGGTTTGTTTTCCCTGTGAGACCTTACAGCAGGCAGTCAAAGCCTCTTTTCCAATAAAAGAAAAATTCATCATTAATGCTGGAGAAATGCTGTATCGAGAATTCTAATTGGTCTTAATAAATAAAAAACTTGGGGTCAGATATTAAGGGTTGAAAGCTGAAAGATCAGAGATGTAGAGCAGCCAACCACTAGAGGTCTTACCTCTACAACTCTCAAATCAAAAAGAGACCTAGCTCCAGTCTCTACCATGCCTTATCACTTCCTCTGTCAGCCCAACCATATCACTTCCTATCTGTTGTGTAAAAAACTCTATGGGTAACTAATGGCTAGCCCCTCATTCTGATCTTCAGGCAAGCTTTGTTAGAGCACAAACAAAAAAGCACCACATCCCCCCACCTTTTGTTTTGTCTAAAGTAAAAAAGAGAAGGTTATAACTAATAAAAGGGAAACTATACAATGAGGACAATAACTATATACAGGCAGTAAATACATCAACAATGTCTGCTCCATTGGCTTTTGACAAATTCAGAGCAAATACTCCATTATCTATCCTATCTTGGTAAATCCAAAATGTACCTAATTCACCTTCTATCCTAATTTGCATTGTCAGCTACCCTGTGTCTTTAGTCACAGAGAAAGATGCAGTGTCAGGTATCCTGGGACAGCCACTTGCACCTTGGCAGACAGAGAGCTTGAAAAGTTCATATGCAGATCTATTGCATACACTGCCTTGTGCCAGACTTGCTTTAGATCACAGGGAATTCCCTGTTACCGTGGTGTGAAAGACAAATTGGAAGCAGAAGCCCTTCTGCAAGGGAAAGCTAATGGCACAGTTTTGCTCAGGAACTCTGCTCAGGTGGGCTACATTTTCTCCAGAAGCTTCTGCCTCCTCAACAGATCCCTACACACTGGAATCAAATAATGGAACAATTTCAGCTTCCATGCACACAATCCTTGCGAGTTTCACTCCTCCACTGTCACGGGGCTTCTGCAACATCATAAAGATTCAGCTCTTGCATGTTTTTTGAAGCATTGCTTATATCACTGAACAGGACTTTTCCTTTCACCCTGCAGTATATCTGTCCTGCAGTAATCTGCAAGGGCAATGTATATGATGAGATCTGTGAACAGCCTCTGCCACCAGTTGTACAGGATATTTTTTTTTTTAAAAGAAGAGTAGCACTATAGACAGAAAGATAGGATTTGCAGGTTTAAGAGAGAAATCAGTCAAGAAAAAGTAACCTCTGTCCCCAAAGGGTAGGTATTGCCTAGGTCTTCTCTCAAGTTCATCAGACAGTACAGACATAGGAAGCACAGAGCGGCCCTCTAGGATTTTTCAACAATGTGAGATTAATCATCTCTATCCAGAGATTAATAGCTTCTATCCAGTGGAATCTTCTATTACAATAGACAAAGGTGTCTGCAACAGATGCTTTGCAGGTGCCCAGGGCTGGGAAAACACGTCTAGTTAGTGAGCAGTTTGATTTTAAGTGGCCGTGGTGACTAAGTGAGGCAACTCTGGGGCATTTGCTATGAAGAATTCCATTGATGCATGTCTAGGTTGATTCTGTAACTTAGATGTGAAACCACTCCTAGTCCAGACTTTAGAGGTAGGAGGACAAAACACCTTTAATCCATATCTTGAGGTGGGAGGACATACTCTCTTGAAAAGGATCAGGAGGCTGCAAGTTAGAACTTTATTCTGAGTCACACCTTCTACTAGAAGCCTATAAAAGGACAAGGAAGAAGGAAGATTTTGTTCCTTGTCTGCTTGCCCTAGCTTTTTTTTTTTTTTTTTTTTTTTTTTTTAACCACATCCATCCCTTCACAGGCACCCATCCTGCTTCTTTGTGATCATATCCTATACTGAAGACTTGCTGAGTCATCCAACCTTGTGGACTGACAATTACTAGAGTGTAGGGCATTCTGTTCATCGCAAGCCATTGTTGGATTGGCTTTAAGTCATCCATATAAATCATATATATATTGCATATGAGTGTGTGTGTTTGTGTATGTGTCTGTCTTAAATACATTCCATTCTCACCTACTATGGGAGTACTATCTCTGTCCACAAACACTAGAAATCTCTCTTGTGCTTTTTTTTTTTTTGCTTTGAGAACTACTCAGATTAATCAGGGCCATGTGTGAGACAGTGGGTTTGGACATATGTCTTGGAGCCTGTTGGGCCGAGCAGATTACTACAGCTAAAGACAGTGATTCTTCTCCTACAATCTATCCATAGGCAACATTGGAGAGGTAAAGGGTGGGGTCCTGTGAGCCTTTTCCTTTCCTAGACTGACTGTGGTCTAGTGTGAGGTCAATGCTGCAGGCAAGTACACTTGCTGTTGATTACTGATTACAACAGCTGTATGGAGTCTATAAAGAATGGGGTGTCTTAGCCCTCCCTCCTCTTTCCTTTACTCCCTTTCCTTATTCTCCTCACAGTGTTACAGAACTATAGAAGGGAAGGTGTAACTGACATTTTCTGGGCCGTGGCTACATAACTTACTTATTTTCTGCATCTGGGAAAGCAAGGGTCTCCACACTCACCATTCCATTAATAAGTTCTTTTCCTATATTTTATATGAAAGCATCTTTAGCATGCATCAAAAGAACTAACTTGTTTTGGAGGCAATTAAATGACAAGACTTCCATCTAGTCGTGAGTCACTACAACCCAAGGTGACTTCAACACTGAGCTTGTATCAATGGGTGCACCACTGACTTCTGCAGACACCAATTTATTTTCCAAATCCAAATTCCTAAAAGGTGTCTCCCCAAGTCCATATTGAAGTATTTGGTTTTGCCTTGTTATGTTTATGTGATCGATCGGATGCTGGCTTCTGCATTTAGCCTGTTACCATTTGGTATAAAAGAATGTAGCTCGGAGGGTGGTAGCCAAGTCAAGGTTAGGTTGCCTCTTTCTTTCTTTCTTTCTTTCTTTCTTTCTTTCTTTCTTTCTTTCTTTCTTTCTTTCTTTCTTTCTTTCTTTTTTTTTCTTTCTGAATGTTCCAGAGCTCACTGTTGGGGTCAGATACCGGGGTGCAGCGTCCTCCTGGATGCAGTTGTGGTCTATGCTCTGGCAGCAAGCATGTGGAGAGTCTGCACAGAGCGGGTCCAGGGCAGCCTGAGAACCGGCGGAAGAGGCGGGTCCCCGATGGGGCAGGGACCACGGTCTAATCAGAGGATGTTCCAGGAAAAGTATCCGGGGTCGGCTTTGGGAAACTAACCAAGAAAAGAGCCGTTCAGCCCCGCCCACTAATCGATTTCCGCACCCACGTGACCGGAAGTGGATTCTTAAGAGGGAGAGTCCAGGAGGATCCGTCTAGTAGGGACCAGACTGAGGGAACCGGAAATTCGACCATTCGCTCTTGGACTCAGAGAGCATCGTTGTTTGTATCCGGGTAAGGAAGATCCAGCCGGGTCCTCGGGGACCTGAAAACTCTGGAGCCGCAGTCTCCGCGCGTGCAGCCTGGGAAAGTGACAGTCAGCAGCGCAGTGGCGGGAACCGCAGCCCGGCGGCCCTGGAACCTCCCAGGTGAGAGGAGCTGCGGGGCTGGGACCCAGGAGGGAGGGGACCGGGGGTGCGAGCAGTTTCTCTGCTGTCACTAAGGAAGCCGGCTGAGAGACATTGCTGTGGATGTCTTCTTCCTTTGTCGGTAAATTTTGGATCACAATAACTGGAATAGTCCTGCCCCTTCCCCCATTAGCTTCGGATACTGAAATATTCTTATAAAAATAATTGAGTAGAGTGAATTTTTCTGCTGAGATTTGCAAGCACGATTCTCTTTGCTACTGTGGAAACGAGTAAGCTCTTGACATTTACAGTCATCCATACTAAT